TACGCTTTCTTCATGTCTTACCAAGACTGTTCGTCTTTTCAGAAACGATTCTACCCAGCGACAGAGTGATAGCGGCCAGCCCTGACTTCGCATTCGTGCGAGCAGCCTATTGTGTAGCACTGCATCGAAGGCACCTTGAATGTCCAGCGTGACCATAGCTGTGACTTTGTTGGATCTCATTGCAGCTTCTGCATCGTGTGTGACACACGATACCAGGTTGACTGCTGAGCGTCCCGGTAGCGCGCCGAATAGTTGGGAAGGTACTGCCTCGCACTTTAACGCAAGCCAGGAAATCCGTTTAGCTATTAGTCTTTCCAGTCCCTTTCCTAAGCTGGAGAGTAACGATATGGGTCGCCATCCTTTTGGGCTGGAGAGATCGCGTCCAATTTTAGGAAGTAGTACAACTATCGCCACCTTGAAAGGTGTTGGAAAATATTCCAAGTTCAGACATGCCTGAAAGAGGTCCCTGACAGATATTCCAATCGAGCTCCAGCAAGCCTTGAGTAGTCGGACGGTGATTTTGTCATACCCTGGAGCCGTTTCTTTACTTCCTATGGTTGACGCTGTGACTTCTTCCAACGAGACCTCTCCGTTCCATGGGATAGACTCTGGTTGACCATTCTCCCATGTTTCCACATCGCTTCTAGCGTCGGATCTTCCCAGAAGGGTATCACGCAGTGCGATTTTCCGCTCAAGCGGATCTGAAAGCCACTGGTTTGGTGATACCAAGAGAGGAGGCTGTTTCGTCGGCTTTGGTTTGGCCCATCGCATGACTTTGAAAACTTGTGCCTCTATCTCTGCTGCTTCGACTTGCTTTGTCCAATATTCGCGTTTGGCTGACTTCACTGCGGCTCGGAAAGCCTTACGTGTCGTTCCTGTATCTCCAAATATCCTTTTAGCTGCCCTGTAGTCACTCTGTCGTTCTTTGCAGTCCTCAGTCCATCAAGGCGCTGTTTTCCCACTTCCTACAGCTGGTGCTCGTCCGAAAACTTTGGCCGCATCTTGAAGTACTCGGATTAAACTCCTCGCGAAGTCCTCTATCTCGATTTGACTACTTAGGGGGCCAAGCTTGTTGCAGCGCTATGTCCATGTTCGGTCCGCCCTTTCCCGCGTTCACTTGGTGAAAGAGAAGGGTGCTATGTCTCTGTTCGTGATTATATGAGTTGGGGGAATTACTCGTTATCATACATTATTTCTTCTGGTATTTTAACGACCTCGTGGGCCTTACCTTTTTCTTGAGATCTTGACAGTGCTGCCTTGAAATCCATATGCCCTCTCTCACGAATGACTCGCAGCTCTGCTGGTGATCGAGGCGTTACTTGACCGTGATGTCGCCTTGGTCGAGCCATGCAGCTCAAGTGGGTTGATTCGTGCGGTCCAGCACAGTTTGAACACTTGGGGATGTTGACCGTGCATTCTGCTACTTCGTGTGCACCAGAACATTTAACACACCGCTGTTCTTTGACGCAGTTTCTTGTTGAGTGGTATCCCCAACAGCGTTGACACCGCTAGATGGGGCGTCGATGGGAAAACGGAATGGCGGGCCCACTCTCGTCAAATAGTCTGAATCTCAGGTTGGATGGCGCCTGTTTGAATTGTTTTTTTTTTGTATCAGATTTTAATTGCGTATGCAGCTATCTAGCTATGACACAATATCAGAGAAAAGTACAGAAAAGATGACTCAATTTACAAGAGGAGCACTCATGCCTCGGATTTCATTTGCAAGTACCACTACGAAGTTATGGTGGCTTTTTCTTCACCCCAAGTCAACCCTCATCCGTGAATACCCACCCATGGGAACGTCTGAAAACCCTGAGTTATCCAGACATGCCTCCATCACCTTTCAACTTTTTTCCGCGCGAAATATGGTCTGAGGTGTCTCCTTCCCAAGTGGAGTAGGTGCCCAGGCCACACAAACTATACCGGAAAACACTACCAGGAGGCGGATCACAACACCTTCCATCGTTTGCTTGTGTTTATAGTGTCAGCTGCACTCTTTTGAAGTGTATTATCCAGCTAGCAGAATAGCTTCCTAATTTTATATTGTTTGGGCGCACCTATATTGGTGTGACTCCACAAACTGCCTGGCATTCCGTCTTCACCATTTCACGAGTAACTTCAATCCTTCCGTCTAATGTACGAATGTAGATTGGGACATGAGGGACCATGACGGACGTCCAATCTGAAGCAGGCTCAATTGTGATTTCTTCCTTTTGAAGTGAAGGACCCACACTCAGTATCGACACCCTGAGTGCGTCTGATGCACACTCCATTGCTAGGCCGGACCTAACTTGTGTTATCGCTATGATTGCTGAAGGTGCGACTCCAGCTTTTTCAGTGATGAGTTTCTTTATTGTGACAGGTGATAACGTCCGCCACTGATGTTCTCACCCTATGCGAAGGAAGAGTCGTTTATCTTATTTCGGGGGCTCTTGTCCGGCTGGCCTTATCTGGACGGTTGGTCTTCGTTTTACCAGATTGGCTGGCGGGTCTGGGAGCTTTGCTGCTTTCTGGGCTACTGTGGCCCACGAAGAAGCAGTCTCCTTGGGCTTTCTTGGCAGCTCATGGAGAGGTTTAGTCGCCCTAGGGACAAAAATTTTTATTTGTGTACCTTCTGGGGATGGGTTCTTGCCTTTGGGAATCGCGGCATTGGTGTTATCTATCGCGAACGCTGTCACGATGGGTGAAATATTTTCAATGAAAGGCGCGACTAAGGACGCGCCTTCGGTTCCTACCTTGGATTTCGCCCAGGCGTCGATGTTTTGCAGAAAATCCTGAGCTAGACTCATTCGCTGCTTTCTTTGGCGTTCCGATTGCTCCATGGCGGCAGCAATCCCAGGAAGGCTCGGGTGTAAATGGTCGCCTGGGTCGATTTACGCCGAGGACGACGGCTGGTTGTACGCAGCCATGATGCTGCTTGATCTCTCGGGTTTGAGTACGGGGATAAATGTACTGGTACGCGTGTATGGGATGGAAGAATTCGATTTTTCGGGTGATGCCAATGAGTCGGTACTGCCGATGATCTCTATTGCCCATGATCATCAGGCGCGAGATAGTGCTATCTCTGCGATTCTACGGGCATTTGCTTGGCGGCTTATATAGGTCGAGTGGTGACGAACCAGGCTGGATGGCCAGTCAAAATCCAAAGTCTAAGATAGGCGTAGGGCTGCATTGCCCTGTGAACGAGGGGCTAGAGCACTAGTTTTCGCGCTTGATTTTAACACTCTAGTCACGAGAGTGGTCTTATTTGTCTGCATCGCGAGATGAGGGCTGCGGCACAGAATTGTGCGGGTGAAGGAGCTATCCCAGGCCGCGTGGATGCCGGTCGGAGTCTACCGATAGGCACTTGATCAAGCCAATGAGTGGTGATAAGGGTGAATCACACTTCATAGCGCATGTGCGCGTTATTCTAGTGTGAACCGTTTAGAAGGATGCAGTCTGGCTACTTTCCCTCTCACAACGGTCACGTCCCGGCGCTCGAGGCAAGGTCGGCAATTTTCAGCGTGCTCGGCCGATTGGACGGTGATGTTCTTTTCAAGGGCTCTGAGCCGATCTTCTCATCAACGTCCCGTAAAAGGCTTAGTTACCAATTTTTCACGCTACAAGGTAGAAGTTCAAGAATTGCAATTCAAACCATCCGTCCCCTCTCACTATCATATGCATGGGTTGGCCATGTCTGTCGCCTCCATACACGCATTTATTTTCCCTACATCAGACGGAAGCATGGGCAAAGATGAATGAGCCCAGCCTTCATGTCAACCAAGAAGATTCTAACCACCAAATATGACTTCAAATGCACCAGCGAGCCATTATTTCAGTCTAATATTGTCAATAGTTATCTAGGCTGACCCCACTAGTGCAAGTTATTAATTCATTTGATTGTCATTTGTTAGTCTTTGATTGTGTAGGATATGCAGGCCAAGGATACCTCTCTAGTAGTATATCCCTTCCTATTTCTCTCATAAAGCTCCCTTCAAACTGTACCGCCCCTCATAGGCCCTCATTCGATCATATACTTGGAGTATCCCTTCGCCCTTCATTATCTCACTTCTCCACCTAGTGATAGCTATGTTCAAGCCCAATATTTTGGTGACGAAATGTGTATTTCACTTCTGGTGCATCCCAAGCCTAGATCTATCGCTAGATATGTTCGGGTGGCCTCGGAAAGTGCTTCTTCAGGAGGGTTAGAAAATTATAGGGGCTACCTCGGAATTTTAATTGAGAACTTCATAAGGTAGAAAATATGTTTGTGAAATACTGTGAAACTTTGTTAGAAAGTTTATACTGTGATATGTATAAGTGTAACTGAGCTTATACTGCAAGATGCTTTATTTTATTCTCTTTATCTCGATGGCTAGACTCAATAAATATTATAAATTATTAAAACAATGATTACAAGAAGCAAATTTGTCTCGCCAAATTATTAAAAATTTTACAGTAGTGCTTTTTTAGTTCCTAACGAGCTCGATCGACTATTGGATTTTCGAACTTTTTGTACCCTCACGCCCCGCTGGTGTTGTATCTTCAAGTAACACTATTATTCTTTAAGGGGATGCCAATAGATAGCACCCAGCCTCAAACTAGTGGTGATCCCTTTGATTATTATTGATTTAAAAATAGAAACATTATCGTAAGTTATCCCGGATTAATCTTTCTTCGTCTTCATTCTTATGACCACGGAAAGGGCTAGACAGTAGGCTATGTCTCAGAAGTTTTGCAGCTCCAAATTAATTTGTCAATCTTCTGAGTTTAATTGAGAGTCCACGGCATTGATATTGATGAATTGCTTCTCTTAGATCAGACTTATCTGATATACACTAACGACAAGTGTCTATCAAGCTTTTTAGAGACAGAGATTAGTAGCGGTATCAGTAGCGTTGGTTATTCAGTTGGCGCTAATAGTAACTAATATCAGCATGAGAACAATAAAAGAGTACCGCTAGTATTCAGTGCCGTGTTTGCTTGGATTAAAATTTAATTGAGCTGTAGGGTAATTTAGTTCAACCATTTGGGCAGTCATAGGTTTTTGGGGCTAAGCTAAATTTACAAGCACAGCAATCCTCGATTTCAATATTAGGGTGCTTCTCTGAGGAATGGATAATTCGAGAATCTTTGTATTGAATAAGTCCTGGATGATCGTCGATGAGAGAGTCAAAACTATCGTTACGGCGGGAACGAGGCGTCATGCGTTCGTTATCATTCGTATCGCCATCGGGACGACTACCCCAGGAAGTCTATAAAATTTTAGTTTTGAAATACTTTGAGCAAATTCAGCTTGCTTTACCATGCGAAGTGTCAAGAGTGCATAGAGCTTGATGAGTCCGTGAAAATAACCAAAGATTATAGAAACGGGGAGAAAAATAAAGTCGAGAGGCTCTCGCACAAAAAGTCCCACAAGTTTGATGACCTTTGTCCATGCCATAAAGACACACTGAGCTATAAGTGCATATTGTGGCCAGTTTCCAGGTAGTTCACGTGACGCATTTATTGTCAAAAAAATTATTAGGGGATCGAATACGAAAGATAGAGTTGTAAAAGTTGCAATATGTAAAGCGTATGTGCACCATAATTGCTGCCTGGCATTTCTTAGTGGATGAAAAAAACTTAAATGAGGATTAATAATAATTACCGCCATACATGACGCTCAGTGAACAGGCTAGTATAGTTACTTCGCCAATTACTTCGTGCCCACCGCGAACATTGGTAGAGAAATTTGATGTTATTCTCTAGGGTTGTTTCGATTTCAGATTCTTTATTATATTGGATCCATGTCTTCCACTGGTTTGCAACTAGCCATCTAGTCACAAAATTATCGTCATCGGCATTGAGTTGATATCGACCCCAACGCTCATTTTTGAATCCGTCTAGAAACAAGGGGCTCTTAAGAATCTCTGCACGAAATGCACAAGTCCGGCCTGACATACATGAAGTACCTCCATCGATACCATGAGTCGCCGAGATCTCGAAATTCCTGCGCTCTATATATGCAGCACCGAGCCAGTTAAATAGTAATGAGGAAAATGGTCCACTCCTTATTCTTTTCACTCTCTGGTTGGGACCGACTGCACCAATTCTTTCGTCTTCAAACGGTGCTAATAGCCAGGGGAGTATAGTTTTTGGCCACGTGACATCGTCATCAGCCATTATGATGATAGAAGTCTTTACCTCAGGAATAACCTCGCAGACCTGTCTCCGCTTATTTGCAATTCGAACCTGATATACTTGAACGTTGCTAGCATTTAAAGAATCAACAAATCTTGACAGCTTCTCATATTTATCGGCCGTGGTGACCAGAAAAAGCTCAAACGGATGGCAAGCAAGAATACTTTTTATAGACTCTCTCAGCTCCTCAAAATTGTTATGAATAGTGGGAATAATTACTGTAACATCATTTATCGTATATGAAGGTTTCGATGGAATCGGTATAGACTTATAGGTCCAGTGGCTGAGGAAGTTACCTATGGTTCGGATATATCGATGGAGCCTTTTCAAATAATAGTCAGTCAAATAAAGATTCCTTAGCGGTTAATACAGCTTTAGGAAACAACTAGAGCTTGTGGAGTTTTTTTGTGCATACCACAGTATCAAGAATGCTATTTGCCATCTCGTGAGGGACAAAATTATGTGCGGCAAAGAAAACATGTTTATTTTTCGTGATGATAGTCCTCTTTAAATTTCTTTAAGCCAAGCAGGGCCTCTGAAGTGAACTCTTTGCAAAGCTTCTCACTGGAAATTTGGATGTGAATGTTTGAAAAGGAATATTATATCGTTATCATGCAGCCTTTTAGTAATCAGGTGTTTTATGGCGTAAAGAAGTTACTCGAATAGTTGTATAACAGGCTTGTCTCTCAGGCTGATGGCGGATATCAAACTTTATTCTACTTTCCTCATTGAATGAGTTTTGTCTAAACAGAGCTTAAAATTAAAGGTTGGTAAATCTTGGATAGCGTATCAATTAAAACGAATGAGATAGATTCGCTTGAGATATGTAACGACTTTAATAACTGGTGCAGAATACTGGAAGAATAAAGGCAGTAAAGAGCGACAGTGGTTGGATAAAGCCTCAAACTTGGCAATCAGTACAGCACGGTGAAAGATCGTACTCTTGAATCTCTAGGCGCCATTCAAAGAGAATATATAATATTATTTCTCATCAGCTTCCTAGTCTTTTCCATACCAAATAACCCCATTAGAGATAGAATGGGTAACCATACACCTTCATACAGGGATTAGACAGTTGTTGTACCATGGATAGCTCTGGCTATGTGCACTATATAATAAAACTGGAGCTAAGTCTAGGACCAGCATTACTGTGTACGGCACTTGCCCAGAGTTTTGTCGAATATCATGGGTTGTTAGTGGCTACACCTTAATAAGTGGAAGAGTAGCAGTACTTCGAGCCCCTCCAGTAACAGAAATGACAAATGGCAAATTGAATGAACCAATCCAACTTAGTGCTCACAGCCGTCAGCGACTCAATTTTCTTTCTGACAGAATTTTACCGCAGCTGTAGTTGTAGCCCTGAAATTTCCGTAATCTATCGATCAACTTCTATTCGTCTCATCAGAATAACAGATAGATATTAAGAGAATTAGCTCCTGCGCCCCATTATTTTTAAAAAGAATTCGAGTGGAAATTTCAACTGTAAATTTCCATCCTTCTTTTCCACACGAGTTGTGTTTTCGAAACCTCTAACCCTGTCAGACATGCGACTTGGGGACTGCATGGTGGAGATTTGAGTGCCCAATATTGTGGTCTGGCTTTGATCCTTCCCAAATCCTCAGAATCTTCTACTTGTTCCCTTATTATTCTTCGCTCCACTTCCTTCCACGACAAATCTCGGCGCCTAGATCTGAAAGACATGAAAAAAATGCGGCATTCCTAGACGTATATGATGTTCCTAGTCAAGACGGAAGCATGATATGCGGGACGTCCATAGTAGACTGGAATAAACTCAAGCCCAAGATACCGGTGATCGTGATATGGGTACTGTTGGTGCAGCTTCAATCTTAATTGTTTAAGACTGACTCGGGCTATCGACTGGTAAACCTTTCGATATCTGGAACACGGGGCTACTAGCCAGCAAAGTAGGCTAAGTAGTCACTTGTCATGACTCCTCTGCGCACATGAATAAAACTTTGGCTAGGAATAGACGCTAAACATAGAGACTTAACGCGAGAATATAGGAATAGCTTTGTTGTCAACGCGCTAGATCACGATATTATTTTACTCAGTAGATAATGTTTGTTTTGACGACAATAGTCTGTCAATCATATAGAGAGCCTACAAGATTTGGCATACCTGGATTAATAAAGCCACCCTGTCCTTGTAATAAGACTAACCGGTTTCAGGGGACAACAGAAACCCTTAAAACAGTTTGGCATGCGCGCCAGGCCAATATCCTTCATACCTTTATACGATGACCAAGGATAATGAAATTCCAAACGCACTGCAACTAACATGGAAGTAACCGATATTATCGCCATCTTGATTAGAGGCACCGAGAATAACCAAGGAGCTAGACAGAAAATTTAACTTGGAGGCCTGGTTTCTTGGTTTAAGAGCGAAAGAGGAGGCATAATTCGTTACCATTATCAATATTTATTGCCAAATTAATCTTGATTTCTAAAATTGAAGTTAGGGTCCTCAAATTTCGTCTATAACCCTATATTATTTTTCAATTGTTCACGAAGAAATATGAAGGACTTAGTCGAAATGGTAGGATAATTGAAATAACAAATTATCTCGTTTTGTGAAGATTCCTACACGACAGTGGCTCAAGATACGTAGAGGGCTTAATCACTCCGTAAACACGGATTTGCACCAGGACTGAAAATCTGATGGCATACTTTCAGCCAACGCAATATTCATATCAGGAGGATAAAGACTGAACACATGCCTCTGGTGCCATCCACAAGCCTAGATGTGAAAGATTCTCCCGGTGCTAAGCCCAGTTCAGCATTGTGGTACTGTAGAAGTTGGCTCTCGAGGCAAAGATTCAAAATACTCTACCACATCTACCTCTCTCTTCCAACAAGGTCGATTCTGACCAAAGCCTAGTCAAGTTGAAAATTACAATCTAGTATACCCTCATATCACTGATCACACCTCTTGTCGACTCACCTTCTAGCCTCAGCGAGCCTCCTAAGATATGCCCGCGAGAATACAAACTTACGCAGAAGACAATTCATGGCGCACAAGTCTGAGAGTCAGATCTTCAAGATAAAAGGGCTGAGGAATCAGGATAGATGGACAAGATTGAACATAGGACAGATAAAATCTTGCAAGAGATGAGACTTGTATTTTAGGGAAGGAGATTTACAGATTGAAGATAATCGTGCGTTACATGACTTCTATCGTGAGAGTGCCCCTGACGTCTAAAGAGTCATTCTTCTTGTACACCCACCACTTGTCATGTGTCATAATTAAATAGCTGAATACACATCAAATGATATAAAACAATTCACATTAGCCTTCAAGCAAATTTTGGGTTGGTTAGTCAGATATTCAATGTTTTTCCGCTATAGTATGACTGCCCTTCTATTAGCCCCCAGATTCTGGGGCTCAAAACACGATGAATCTTATGTTTAATTGGATATTGTTAGCGGGAGGAGACTTGTCCTATTTTTCACTTCTGATGCCCAAGTCATGAAGTATTTTTTCTAGGCGACCCAATTCAGTAATTAAATGCCTTGATAAAAAACGCTCTTGCAGTGGGATATATTCGCGGAAACCTCGCCAGGGTTTTTTATTTGGAGACTTATGGCTCTTCTCTAAACCGCTGATACCCGCCCCATAGAGCACTCCATATAAACTCTTGTATCCCCAGTTTATCTCTCTAGCTCTGTTTTAAAGTTTATCGCGCGAGATAAAGTCCGAGAAAGGGTTTTCAATATCAATGTAGTATGTTCACAAGTCAAGAAAGGTGGGCATCTAGACTTCTCTGCCTTGGTATAGATTCAAAGTTGCCACCAAGTCACAAGAGTATATAAAAACTCCCATAATAGAGATCGAGAATCGCCCTATTTTACACGTCCTTGGCCCAGAACCTAGCTTTTTCAAAAAATTTCTATTCAGAATCTCTAGTATTAGGCCGCTCCCAATGTCGGGTCGTCCTCCCAGTTCTCCCAAACTGTTTATCACAAACATTGCGATCAAATTGGGTAGTTTGGGTTTGCAGAAGAAAAAAATTGATGATCTAATTTCCCGAATATTGGACGAAGAGCGCAACTCTAGCAAGATATTGGGTTTACTCGGTATATTTCGAGGTGTTCTGGGGTACGAGTCATAACGCCCTATGGAATGCTTGTTGTTAAGCGAGAGTTCAATTGTCAGGTCAATGCCTAAGTTTCGTGATCTAGAAGGTTGGAAACCACCCGTGTAGATTTCAAGGGCAAGGATTTATCTACCTTTCTCAACAGGCCTGGCCCTAAAATCTTCAATGGGACTTTCGACCTTAGCCGGCAGCCCGGTAATTTGGCCACTGGATCCTGACTACGATGAGAATATTGAGGCTGCCAGGATCAGCGATCAATTGCCTTTTCTTTCCCTAAAATAAATAGAAGGCTGGTGATCACTGGAACTTAATTGGTGTGGGCCTGGGACTGTAAATACTTTAACTTCGCATGTTGTATAGGGTTCCTGATCAAACAAATACGTGTGGCATAAAAAGCGTTGCACATATACCAGTTGAGTAGAGAGTTCATAGATGCTAGGATTTTTTGATTCCTCCTGATAGTTGCGCGATAATATGTACGCGACGGATTAAAATGGAGTTGAAATATACTCAGTAAATAATTGTCGGTTAGTAATCTCAACATAATTGTGGGCAATTCGCGTGAGCAAGACTGAACAGTTCTAATCTAACATTTACTCGCTTTCTTCGGGAATAAATTATATCGATTTCAAAGTCATATAGAATTCTAGACTGAATGAGCGTGTTGGTCATCTCTACATATAGCCGAGTCGCCTGTGCGTCGGGGAGTATATGTCCCCTCCTACCCTTTTTAAGCACCCTTTCAATAGTAAAACCATACGCAAATACTCTTTCGATTATCCAGTTAGAGAAGCCCTTCGCCCTTCATTAATTCACATCTCCATCTAGCGAGACGATAATCACCTGCAAATGTATGGGAACTGGGAAAGTCCCAAAACTACTGGGTGTGAAGTGTTCATAATAACGATGTGAGGATCAGGTCGAATTGCATAGCTATCCTTTAGAAGAGATATAAGAGGCCGGCCGTCCGGGCGCTGAAAACCTGTGTGCACCTTAGGGAAGCACTCTTTGTCTTTGTTTTCTCTTTCTAACATTCAGGCCTCAGATCATGTAGCACATTAGGTTAAAATTTCAGAGCCTTGACATTAAGCGCTTGCTGTACATTGCCATATATGGCTTCTTCTGCAATATAGGGTACAAGGGAATTATGTCTGGTCATTAACAGAAGTAGCGCTTCTAGCTAGTGTTGAACTTAGACTGCATGGGCTCTACGCAATCTACGGTGATAGCTGGGGATTCATGAGGGAGGTTGCTGGCAGATTTTGAGTCTTCGTCCCCCTAATTATGTTAGACCTACTAACATCTGGTGGTGAACTTACGTACTGACGAGAAATGAGTCATCAAGGTGAGCTTTGTTATATCAGTC